TGTTCTGCTCTGAAACAGGAACTTCAAGGGTGTGGCTATTTAGCAAAACTAAAACAAATTTCACCAGTCCCAAGTTGAAAAGATCTCAGGAGAAAGTTTCTACGCTGCTGTGAGCTGTCTTTCAATTTTCTCCCATGGTATCCCAATTTTGAATATCCAAAGTTTCCACCTGCAGAAACTACACATTACACTTCATAATTTCTTATAACATTTTAGTCAACTTGCAGGTGCTGACTCAAGCTTCAGGCTGCTTCAACAACGTATGCAACAACTGTATATATCTTTGTTCTTTTACTAACAAATTCTGCCCCATTATTCCAGCTAACTGAAAACTTTTCACTGCCAAGTACCTTTTTAGTTTTGCTTGAACCTCTCTGAATTTATCCTGCAGAATCTTCTCACCATCTCACATCCTATTCTTTCCACTCGTGTCAATCTTCCTCTCAGTCCTAATCAGGGTGGCCCTGTTCAGGTGCCAAATATCAGTGGTCTAGCCAAGTTTCCCAACTGCCTGTTGAAGAGGACAGTAAAAGGATGAAATAAAAGGCAGCGACAGACTTAGTAATGCATGACAGGGTGGCTAGGAGGTCAATGCCTCAGGGTGATCAAAGACAATGACACTTTTTATTGGGTGCTCACAATAATTGGAGGGAATATCTATCAGATTACTTAGAAGGCAGTGGTGATCTTAAATTGATGTAATGCCTTTGCCTTTGAGTGTCACAGCATAACAGGATCATTAAGGTCCCCATTAAGGCCTCCAGGCCCTAGGCTCGATTTATAATTTGTGGTCACCAAATTATAACTTGTGGTGGAAAAATTTTGGTTCCCAACTTATAATTTGTGGTGGAAGATTTTTGGCCAGCTGTTCTTCAAAGGACTACTATCTAGAATATATAAAGAGTTTTTTGAAACAGAGCCCTCAAATTTAAAGACCTAATTCAACAATAGATATCTGCAATAGACACATCTCAGATGAAATAGAAACATCAAATCCATGAAAAAGTGTCACCACTATTGGTAATTCGAGAAATGAAAATTAAAACAATGATGAAATTCTATCTCACTTCAAAGAGAATGACTGTTATCAAGAAATTAAACAGTAACAAATGCTGGTGGTGTTATAGGGAAAATTGAGCACTTCTCCACTGCTGATAGGAGTGTAGCCTGGTGCAACCATTGTGGAAATCAGTGGGAAGATTGTTAGACAAATTAAAACTAGAGGTTCCATTTGAACCAGTTATTCCTGTCTCTAGTAGCTTCCCAAAAGAAATAAAAGCATCATACCACAGCAATATATGCACACCCATGTTTATAGAAGCACAATTTGTAATAGCTAATAAAAAAGATGTGGTTTTTTTTAATGCAATAGAGTACTACTCTGCCACAAAAAGGATGTACTTGAGACATTTCTAGGAAAATGGAAGCACCTTGAGACCACATTCTTAAGTGAAATAAATCAGACATGAGTATTTAAATATCACATTATTTCCCTGGTGTGAGACACCAAAAGTAAATAAGGATCAAAATGTATAATTTGAAAGTGTGAAATAGGAAGAAAATGTTCAAATGGGAAAGGAATCTAGACAAAGGGGAATGAAAAAGAAAGGAATAGGAAAGAAAAAATGAGAAAAGAAGGAAAAAATGAAAGCAAGGACTTCTGGGAGAACATGGCAGACAGATAGCAGCAGCTACAGAGGCTCTCTGAAACACCCAGCTTAGAATTCAGGAATGGTGCTGAGTAAGGATTCATAAGCAGGAGTTAGATATGCCCCGGTGACCCAAGAACGAACTGGGCTGAGAGAAACCAACTGGGAATGCAATCCTGGTGCTATAACAGGAACAGATAAAGCCTCAGTGTGGAAGCTGGAGCCCACGCCATTGGAAGCCGCGATTTGGGGTTCCCACTGTCGCCGCTGTGTCTGCATCGGCTCAGCAGGGAGAGAGACGCATGGAAGCTCTGAGAATGGGAATCAGTAAACAGAGTTGAGAGCGGGACTGGCGGGGAGCTGTGCATCCACCTCCAGTGAGTGAGGGAAAACTGGGACTCTGCCACGGTCCAGGAGACTCCAACAGAGGACATTCTGGGACCAGGCAGACTTGCGGGAACAGAGCGCTGCAGTGACTTCAGTCATGTATACCCCTCTCAAGCGGGATTGGTGAGCAGTGCCTAGCCCACGTGACAATGCTGGCTGAGATCCAGTAGGCTAGCACAGCCCAGGTCCCAGCTCCTAAATGTAGATTGACCTGGAGTGGCAGGCCCTGCATAGGCTGCAAGGTCTACAACTTCCTGGTGTGCTGCGGTGGGTGGGAACACCTAGCCGGCGCAATTCAATCAGACTGTGGCTGACAGGGAAGGAAGCTGGGCCTCCTATATACGCTTGCATATATAAGGAACAAAGAATATGGGAAGAGGCAGCAACAAGAAAGGGTCCTCGGCCCCCAATCCTGAGAAAGAGACAACAGCAGACACAGCACCAATAGACATAAAGCGCTATCTCGAGAGCCTCATAGACAAGTTCATGAATGAAGTTATTAATGACCTGAAGCTAGACATAAGCAGAATAGTTAGAGAAATGCTAAGCACCACCCAAGAAAAAACAGATGGTGGAATGGAAGAACAGAAAAATAGGGGAGAATTGTTTAATGGAGAAAATAGAGAAAGCATAGAATACATGAAGCAGGTTTAAAGAGACTACCAGGAAACTTAAAAGTCTATCAAAAACTGGCATAACAGCTTGAAAGACTAAGGACAGATTATCTGAACTGGAGGGCAGAGTTGTAATATGGGAGCATGAAATGAAAAACTTCTTAAAAATAACAAAGAAACAAACAGCAATAATACAAAGACTAGAAGATGATAAGAGGCTCTATAACTTAAGAATTAAGAACATAGAAGAAGTAGGGACACAAACAAATGAACTACAAAAGCTACTCACAGAAATAATCCAGGAGAATTTTCCTAATTTAGCAAAAGTTAAAGATACTCAGTTACATGAAGCATACAGGACCCCAGCCACCTACAACCCAAGCAGAGCAACACCCAGGCATATAATAATTAAAATTCCAGAAATCCAATACAAGAACAGAATATTAAAAGCCATCAGGGACAAGAAATAGATCACTTACAAGGGAACACCCATCAGAATTACAGCAGACTTCCCGGCACAAACCATCAAATCACGAAGAGCGTGGGGGGAAATAATTCAAGCTTTGAAAGATAATAATCTCCAGCCAAGATTGATATATCCTGCACAACTATCCCTGGAAATTGATGGAAAAACAAGGTGCTTCCAGGATAAAGAGGAACTAGGGGAATATGCAACCACCAATTCAACTCTACAGAGAATACTGCAAGATATTCTAAAAAAGAAAAATACGAAAAATCCAGAAGTAGCGGCAGAGAGGCCACAATGAATGGAGCAGAAAACAAAATGAAGAAGACAAACTGACAACTAATGACAGAAAAAGAGCTCAACAGAAATGAGGAAGAGAAGATTGGATGATAGGAACAGCTATATTGGAGAAAATGACGTCTTAAGAGGTAATACTGATTTAATATCATCTTGTTTGAAGTCTCATCAAGCTTTTATTCTGTCTCCATTGGTCTAAACAGGTGCTATCTTATTGGATTTTATTATATATGATAGTATAAGCAAAACCTTTTATAGACAACGAGATTATACAGAAGCCATTGTTCATTTTCTGTTAGTTGATTCTAAATACCCTGTAATACTGTCATTCTCTTAAATGGTTTTACATTGTTTTGGTATATTTGATGTTACAGTATACGAAGTTATACTCAAAGATTTCAAGGAAAGAGACAATATGGTAACTACTTTTATGTCGGGATAATCTTGTGGTGAAACTTTATTTTGCTTAAATGGTTATGTTTTGATCTGCACTGATTTGCTGTTATGCCCTCTTTTATCTCAATCTCCATTTTATTATTTACTTTTTTATTCTTTTAATTAAGGGAAAAATAAATTTAAAAATAGCAGGATATATTATAGTGACCCACTTTGACTTTCCATTATCTTGATTTAAAGCCCTGTATTGCTCTCACCATCTTGTTTTGACTGATGTTCCTCTGTTCTGGTTTGCTTGATAGTATCAGGTTCGAAAGTTTAGGCAACAGCTGTGAAGATAGTGGGATTCATTATGATGCCCATTCTGGTTGACTATTATCTACTTTTGAAGACCTATAATGCCTCCAATGTTTTGGTTTTGTTGGTTTTGTTCTTTACTGTTTTGTTCAAATTTTATTATAACTAATGATATAGGCAATTCTATTAGAGATAGCGGGAGGCATTATGGTAACCATTTTTGATCACCTAGTATTATGCTTTTACATTATCTATTACGTCCACCCTTTTGATTTGACTGACTGTTCTGTTATGTCACTTTTGGTTCTACTCTCTTCCAAAAAAGTAATAAGAATTGTGGGAGCAACAAAACCGAAAATGTGTAATTGTCATTGTACAAAAGAGAGGAAAACAAAGTGCTCTAAATGATATAACTGCATGTATATTTAAGTGTATAAGATAGATAATGATATTACTGAGTTTTATTGGATCACTGAACAGAACAGTTTGCAGTCTCACTGTTGGAATGTCCACTTTATAAGCTTTAATTTTGTAACGAACAATTATTTCTAAGATGACAAAATGTAATCCATTAACTAGTGATTTCCTACTGTTTATTTTTTTCTGTAAATCTGTATAACTTGTACCCTTTCTCTGCTTTTTTTTTTCTTTTTCTCCTTAAATAAAATTAAAAGGAAAACAAAATGAAAGCAAAGCTTTTGTAAATAAGGGAAATAGGGGTTGCAGGGAAGGCAGGGGAATGGGAAAAAATGAATCAAGGTACATTATGTACAGGTATAAGTTCTGTATGATGAATGTGATCATTATGTACTCCTAATATATACCAGTAAACTTAATAATAAAAAAAACAGTGAAAGGAAAGATCCTGGGACTGAACACTCCTTTTCCCTCTAGAGTGCTGCCATTCAGCACTTAAAATCTGCAACCACTGAGCTGAACAAAATCCTGAAGTCCAAGTATACCATGGAAATAATCATTGCAACCAGGTGAGTCTCCCTCCAGGTCTCATACTTTGGGGTATTTTTGCCCCTCAAAGGCTATTTCTATGTCAGGTATGGGGTTCATTTTAATAGTCTGCTGTGTTGAAGCCAGCTAATGTACATATTCATCCTTCCAAATCACATTTCTGCCAACTCAAACCTCTAAGCTTCATGAATAGAAATTTTAGGGAAAAAAGATGAGATTGAGACAAGGCTTCTAGCTTCTCACCAAAAATAAAAATAAAAAAAATTCAAGCCAGGTATTTGGAAGGAAGGCTACAGAAGGGAAACACAAGATTCCAGATGACTCAACAGGGCTAAACCCTGGGAATGGTCCCTGCAATACTTATCTGTAACTTCTCTCTCACAACCTAAAGCAACACATCCCCTTTCTAAATATGTAGTTCTTTATTCCTCCCAGGATTTCCTGGGTGTATCCTGCCCAGTCTACTACACTCTCCCTTGAGAAACATTCTCCACAGGGTAGATGTGCTGATTGTGTTTTTATTTTATTAGAGGAGCCCTTGAACCACAGCTGACTGACCTGGGGTGAAAAGCTGACCTAAGTTAAGCCAAGTAATTCACTTTTCTGGACTTTCAGAAGTAAGGCTAAGATGTGCTAGTCATCTTTAGACATTTCACTTGGGAAATGGTATGAAATTGAACTGATGTTGGGATGGTACATGTGTCACCATAGGTACAGAAAAAACGTAAAGGTGGGGACTTATGAAGAGAAGCACAATGAATAAGAAGGGAGAAAACATTAGGAAAGAGAGAAAGAGAAAGAGAAAAAAGATAGAGACTATTGACATTAGGAGAAAGGAGGATTCTAGACTTCAGTGTCCATGTCATATCGTACCATCCGTCTCACCATTCCAGATTCCTGTGCTCAGCAGTGGAAGATTTCGTGGCTGATACTGTGAAGGCCTGGAATCATATAAAACAGAACAATACAGCAGTAGAGTCTGTGATTTTGAAAGTAAGTTTCTTTATTTTTGTATTGTACTCTATATGGAGTCAGGGTCCCCTAGTCAATAAAAGACAATGTACTTCTCACAGGGAAATTATGAAAGAAATGTAAGGAGGAGTCAACTGGTAAGCCATCTTGATGAGGAAGGTCCAACTCACCACCTTACATCTCTTGCTAAATGAATAATGGCACTATTTATGCATACATATGAACTATTTATCTAGACATATGCCAAGAATCTATCCACAACTACATACAAGTGCACAACAGACATATGTATGTATGTATGGCTATATGTCAGAATGTATTTAAAAATATGTATATACTAACATACACTAGAAATATGGCCAAATTCACCTCTATAATAGCTAACACTTATGTTATTTACTCTGTTCCAGAGACTGTTCTGTTTTTAACATATAAATTTTAGTTAACCCTCACAACTGCCCTAAAATGTAGAGAAACAGAATTTAACTAACTTACATCACAAACTACTAAGTAATAGAATATAGAATCAAAGCCATAAATCGTGGACATATATATGTCCTCCAACAAGCACACCCATACAAAGGCAAACACCAATATCCATGTAGAGAAACATCCACTTCTGTAGGAGTTTGCCCAGGAAAATGTCTTCTAAAAATGTATATTTTTCCTTAAGTTTGCCGTGTTAGATATCACAGGAAAGATGCATGAATATACATTGTTGCCTCTGCAGATGCTCAGAAACAAATGATGTGTTTGATCCCCTAGAACTCCTTGTTTTTCTCATCACAACTACCCATGCATTTCTTTCCCCATGTATTTTATCTCTTCACATGTGTCTTTCTATGTTTAGCATTTCAAGCCAATTACTAGATTTCCACCTCTTCTCATATTACCCCTGACTCCTGACTCTATCCTGTCCATCCCTCCTTTCTCCCTTTACAGAGTGACTTACTGTATGATAACCTCAGTATCTTGATTGATGTCCTGGATGAACAGGCAGCAGGTACCTCAGTTAAGAAAAGTACAACACTACATATGGACATTGACAAGACAGATGGAAATCCTTTAAATACTCAAGTAGACCACATAGCCAAGAGCAAGTTGGAGCTGACAACAAAGGCTCAGAATCTCCAAAAATCCTTGAAACTTATCGTATTCCAGGTTGAACAAGGTAAGAAACACGGGGTTGGGATGACTGAGATAGAGGAAAGGGAAGGTTCCGAGACATGTTTGACTTGTCTCTCTCACTATGAGCTCACTACCAAAACAAGACTAGTTTCTATATTCACGTTGCATCCAAACTTCTCAGGCATTTAACTCTTGCTAGTCACTTAATTTTGGAACTAACACTCACCTTGAACAATTATAGGTGTTCAGTGGCATGGTTCAAAACTCTATCATCCTACACCCCAGTCATGGAATTTTTTTCACCTGTTCTTGTTTTTTTCTAACTGCCAAGACTGTCACTATTTTAGAAGGAAATGGTCCTCATCTCTGCAGGTCTTGCATAATATTAGGAACCCTGAGAGTAGCCTTGGTGGCTCTGATGTTGTCATGGCCCAAAGCTTACAATTTCCAAGCATCTGATTCAGTATGAAAATTCTTCCAAACCCCTTTTTAATGCAACATTTTGGAGGAGTACTTCTCCATAATACTTCTTTAAAATACAGATAAAAGAGCAAGTATATTCTAATTGAGATATTTGAATTCAGCAGAAATCCATGTAGCAAAGAAGTCTCTTTGCTGGTCTTTGACTTTTAACCATGGTACCATCTTCTACTTTGGTACATTTAGTTACAACCTCATCTATGTTTTTGAGAATGAAAGAAATCTCCCTTGTGCATTGTAGAAAATTAAATTCATTGTTTGTATCTGTTTCTATAGTTAGTTCCCAAGTAGTAAAGCACAGATCAATCTGAGATAGCCATAACTCTGTCGTAAGTGACCCTCAGTCTGCTCCATTAATACATATGATAGATTTAGCAGTGCAGCTTGTAGGTATGGTACAAGTAGAGGCTCCTTGATTGGATAAGGATTGAACTCATGGGCTTTGGACAGACTGAGTACTTGAGCTATAACAGCATGTAAGTTAATGGAAAGAAGATGACTTCTCCAGTGTCCTGGGTATGGGTGAGATATTTGAGTAAATGAGTAGTATTTTCCTGGAGGGTCAGATCTAGACAAAAATCATGTGAGTAAATCAAGTACCAGAACGGAGGTAGAGCGTAGAAATTTTCTCACTGTTCTCCCTCCTATCCCTGGCCCACGCTTCTACTCACAACCACATGTATTGAGTGTCAAAGAAAAAAAAGAATAACCTGTAAATCAGAAAAAGTTGAGGCATTGATTAGCCATGAAAACAACACTTTAAGGAAACTGAGAGTACAAAAAGCATTATGGAGGAGAGGTGATGGTCAAATGAGTCTCCATTGCCTATCCGCACACTGACTAAACAATAAACTCAACAAATGTTTAATAAATGTGAAAAATTCTTCTTTTCCTCCTTCTTCCTTTGCCTTCTCTCCCTTTCCCTACCTTATTCTTTTCCACTTTTTACTCTGTAGTTCTGGATGAGGAAAGCAGACAGACAATATCAGTTAAGAACTTTACGCCATCTTTCTTCCCGGAAGATAATGACTCAGAGGATTTTAACCAGATGAGTCCAAGACACCGTAAGGATCTTTCTATTCCTCTTCTCTTATTCTAGACTTCATCAGTGTCAGCTAGTTCCCCAAGATAAATCTGTGTAAAGAAAGTGTGGCATTTATTTACAGTAGATTACATTATTACATAAAGGACAAACGAGTCCTTTGTAAGAAAATGAACATATCTTGAAACCATAATTTTAAGTGAAATATGTCAGACACACAGGCTTAATTATTGCATGATTTCTCTTATATGAGAAACATAAAATATAAATAAAGAACAACATAAATGATAGGGAATAGGAAAAGGGAGATAGATCTTTTGCAGAAAGGAGAGATGGGGAAGGGAGGATGGAGATTGGAAGCAGGTGAAAAAGAATTAAAATGTATTATGTACATACCAGATCCCTTTAGGAATATAATCATTATGTACTGAAAACATGCAGTGATAAAAAAGATAAATGAAAAATTGCTTTTCCATACATCTTCCTTCAGTCATAATCTTACTCTAGTAGACAGTCTTCCCATTTTTCCAAAAATCTCACACCAAAGTTCAAAGTAATGACCCCATTACACACTTTGAAAAAGCTTTCTTGATGAAACCCATTTTATTTTCACAGCCAAAAACAAGCAGCCCAGCCTTACTATTCTCTTAGTTAAGTGTGGAGGACGCCACATCGCCACCACCCCCACCCACCCAAGTGTGACTGTGCTCACTGGCAAACAGTGCAGGCCATGTAGAGATTACTTCCCTAAATTGGCTTTCAGTTTAATTAGTGAGTCTGGGTGAGGCTGTGCGTGCCATCTTCAGGAAAATAGGTGGCTGACAATTGACCAGCATTGTTTGTTATGAAAGGCCATGGTTGCACTCAGACAAGGGGTGATACTATGGGTCTAAGATTTGAAATAATGTCTCTGCTGAGGCCTGCATGACTCCAGAGGGAAATTCCTTCCCAGAACTGGCTACAAAGCAGGTTATTCATTAACCTTAACCTAAATCTGCTGTTCTGTCCCTTCTGCAAGAATGCTTTGTTCCCTCTGTTACAAGTCTTGCCAGCCTTGCCAGTTGTCTACCGCACATCCAGCTGCAAAGCTCTCACCATTTTCCTCAGTGAATAAATACCAAGGCTCTGTAGCCTTTTATTTCTTGAGAACAACTGGTCACCCCAGGTCCCTGACACACCTCTATTTCATCTCTTGTTCTTTCTTCCCACTATATGCCATAACTCCAGGCAGGAGATTAGAGTTCTCTGCAAAGGTCTCCAATAGTGAAGTCCCCATTCATCAGAGAGGATCCCTCTTTCTAATGAGAACCCTATTATTTAAGAGAAAGTCAACTGAGTTTGACCATCCCCAATAGAGTAAATATGGTCAAGTACAGATGATAGGAAAGGCTTTTTTTTTTTTTTTTTTTTTTTTTTTGTATTTATGTGACATCAAGGTGATGTCCTTTGTGTCTAGGTTGTCGTTGTGGCATTTTGTCTTCTATATCTTCTCTCAAAAGTGAAGACCTAGATAACCTTGACATGGAACATTTATATTTTACACCTGAAATGATGTAAGTATTTAACCCTGTTATCTTTTTTATTAATGCATGTTGGCCGTACAGATTAATTAGCTTCATTTTGGTAGAACTGTCCATGTATATAACGTTATTGGTTCACTTTCATCCACTTACCCCACTTGCACCCTCCTGCTTCCTCTACCTCCCTTTTTTTCCCTCTCTGATTCTTCTTTGGCTTTATCCTCTCTCTGGTTAGAGCACAGTCTTGAGCTATCCAGATGAAAATTGTGACTCTACTTACTACTTGTTTGCCCTGTACAGTGACTTAACCAATGTGAGTGTTGATTTCTTCACACCTAATGAAGATAATTATAGAATTTCCCACATAAATTTTTTTGTATTTGCTTAGTCTATATAAGAAAAATACTTGCACTGAGCAGTGCTTAAAATCCATAATTAAATGTTTTATGTGTTAGCATTTACTGTCATTATTATGCAAACTTAATAAATGTTTTAGCTATTTTTTTGTTTTAGAGGATATGTGTTTCCACTGTTGCCTTTAAGCATAGGTGATCGAAGATACTCAAAATCAGTTTCTCTAACTGATTTGTTAAGAAAATCAGTCTGAACATTCTTTAGAGAAACTCCACTTTCTTGGCTGTGTAGTGGGGTAGGTAAATCTTATGGTAATTACTTAAGGTCAGTTTAGTAATAAATGAAAAACTTATCTATGATTAAATATATAAACAGTACTTATCTTCAGCCTCTCAAAATAAAGGTACAATTAACAACTATTTATGTTTTCTAAAATAATTTAAGAAAAAAAATGTTATTCCTATCTTCAACTGCCCTCCTCCCAACTCTCCTCCATGTTACCACTGGCTTAAAATTCAGGTCTGAGTTTTCATAGATCTATGTAATGTGCTTTCATCAGTAGTGCATTAACAACTAGCATATTGGGGAAATTGATTCCTAGTATAAGTCCTCCACCATGGCCTATTTCAAACTACTGATATAATGTCATTGAATACATACTTGGAAACAGATACAGCTAAATAATTTACAGGAGCTAGTAAAAACCGGTACATAGGGTCTGGGGATTTAGCTCAGCAGCATAAGCACCTGCCCTGTGAGTGTGCAGTTCTGAGTTCAATCCCTGGTACCCCCCCCCAAAAAAAAAGAATAAAGAAAACTGGCACATGACAAGTCTTGATGCTGATACCCTCAATGAATACAAGAGATTCAAAAGATTACATAGCTTTATTTCTTGTATACATATCTACACTCTAATCTGTATTTCCCTCCACATATGTGGTTACTCTGTCTTTTAATGTAATAATACAATAAAGAAATTAGACATCACTGAGAGAAACAGGCTTAACACTCAGGATACATCTATATCTGTGATACTCAAAATTTTGTCATGGTAATAAACTGATAATTCTATTTTCTTACATGTGGAAAAAAATATAGACCATGCTTCCAGTATAATTATCATCATGAATGTTGCTTCTTTACTATGAATCTCACTTCCACTGAAGTCCCAACTGGCAGGTTGTCTTCTCTTACAGCTAACACATTAGTTGTTAACACAATAGCATATCTACAAGCACATTTCAAGAACACTGTGGTTTGTGTCCAAAGTGTAGAACTTCCCTCGGTGACTTTCCATTATGCAGTAAATTCTGCATCCCAATCACAGCAACATTTCTTTCCCCCATCAGCCTTTGATCTCTTCTTTGGCTAATTTCAGACGCTTCAAAGAAAAGTGTGTTATGAACAACTACTTTGGGATTGGATTGGATGCTAAAATATCTCTGGAGTTCAACACTAGAAGAGAAGAACACCCCGAACAATACAAGTAAGGAAAAGAATCCCCTCCTCCTTACATGTAAACATATGATCAAAATACAGATGCATATTTCTGTATTTCCTACATCTCAGACAAGGAATAAAAAGAAAAAGGTCCTTTGAAAGCAAAATACACCGGTTCCAAGACTAGCCAAGGGGGACAGCTTGCTCCAAATGTTGGAACGGTCTATGACCATTACACTGTCATTCTGAAGCTGAAACTCCTTTCATAGTCTTACCTGAAGATTTCTGGGCAAACATAGCTCCCTGTGTTACTATCATTAAAAATAGAATACTTTGATCCAATTCAACAAAATACCTATTTTCATTCTGTCGACAAGGGCTTAATTAAGTGCTAGTAATGGTTACAGGTCTGTTTTTGCTCATCAAGACTGTGAAATATCAAAGACTGTCCTATTGGTTCTTGGTGTTCCTTACCTGATTTCTCTGGACCTATGGATTTTACCCCACCTAGTATTGGCCTACTCACCATTTTCTGGAACTTTTGTGCTACAGACATTCTCCCAAAGCAACCTCAAAGTTCTTGTAATTTGAAACTGTAAGTAAAAAGAAGCACTCTGACCTCTTCACTGCCACTGCCACTAGAATCATTTACTTGGAATAAACCTGATATAAAAGTACTTTTCAAATAAGATTTTACAAATAGTTTCTCTCAGTCTGTTGCTTTTTTTACATTTTATGGTGGTTATCTTTTGAAGTAAAAATATTTTGAATTTTAATAAGACTCAAATAGTTAATTTTCTTTATGGATCATGATTTTGATGCTATGTCTAAGAAATATTTGTCCAATTTGAGGTCTTAAAAATTTGCTCCTAAGTTTTCTTTTAAAATTTGTATTGTTTTATGTATGGTATGAGCTAATAGTCTAAATGAATCTTTTTGCATGAAGATATCTATCCCACCACCATATTTTAAAAAAGCAATTATGAATTTGCTAGCACCTTTATTGAAATTCAGTTGACCATAAATGTAATAGTTTATTTCTGGAATTTTATATTTCATTGATCCATCCCATGCAAGTAACACACTATTTTGATAACTGTAGTTTTCTAGTAATTTTTGAAACTGAGAAATAAAAGTTCTCCAGGTTTTTCTCTTTTCTTTCCAGAAATTTTTTTGCTATTCTAGGCATTTTACACTTGAACATAATTAAATCTCTGTTTTGATAAATGAGGAAACTAAAGTACCCAAAATACCTATAGCTTTTAACAGAGTCTAAATAATTCTTTACTAGCCTTCTATTTCAACTCATTCCCTACGATGGCTCATTTCTATGGCTCTGTTTTAAAAGCTCATTGTAAAATATAGCTGGTGTTTCTAATGGTTTTAATCTCCTTGCCTGTTTTTTTTTAAATCAGAAATCCTACAGACAGCAGGACCTGGTTCTTCCTTCTCCATGCCCAAGTCTCCTGATGCCCTTGCCTGTCTCATATTTTCTTCAGAGACTTCTCTTCTGCATCTCCTTACTAAAGTAACCTCTGTTCTATGACACTGAATTAAGTATTTAATATTAGGTTATGGTGTTTGAAAAAGGCCTCCACTAAGTCAGAATATTCACGTCATCAAAAAGTTGCAGTCTAGGGCAAACGTTTTATATAAAATTGATTCTAAGCAGATGAAATCATGTGCTCCTGGAATGACACTGCCAAAATAGCTGGCATATATCTGCTAGCTGTGCTCACAGATTTTTATGAGCATTTTTAAATATAGCCTGCTTAGTCCAAGTTAGGACCAATATTAGCAGCAAGAAGAAGTAGGAATTTTACCAATAACAGGATACTGAAGCTGCAAAGGGTCCCATGAGCACATTTCTACAAGTGTTGGCATTACACTGATTACACAACTCCAGCAGCCCCTCTTGTGTCCATTTACTATCTAGCATGACTCTTCACTATAAGAAAGCATTTAAGGCACCTGAAAAATAATCTAGTCTCCTTCCCTGTCTTTCCCAATCCATTTACCATGATATTATTCACCTTCTAACTTTGACTCTCTACCTTTATCTTTCTGTAGTAGCCGCTTAAAGAACAAGATATGGTATGGTCTTCTGGGAAGCAAGGAACTTTTGCAGCACTCTTACAACAAACTGGAAGAACGAGTGCACCTAGAGGTCAGTAGAAAAAGGAGTATTTCTTCCTAGATATGGACACAGGAAATGTCTTGGTCTTGGCAATCAAGACTTTTCCCCAAAATCCCAAGTTCTTGCAGAGCTTTAATTTTGTGATCCTTGCTCACAGCTCATGGCAGGAAGGCAATGATAGGAGTTTCCACTTATAAATAAGAAAATGATACTATGAGGGGAAGATAGAGCACCCCCACCCCTGTAAGTGTCCCTTCACATTGGTAACTGAAAAGCCATCCAACAAGACTCTTTTCTTTCAGTGCGATGGAGAAGCCATCTCCTTACCAAACCTGCAAGGCATTGTCGTGCTCAACATTAACAGCTATGCTGGTGGTGTCAACTTCTGGGGAAGCAACACAGCTACCACAGTGAGTATGGAACAAGCAACAGGGTAGAGAAAGGCATAAATCTACTAGGTCTTGCAGAAAGAGTCTTGGTGCGAAGTGAACAATGGTGGAAAAGAAAATGCACTTGGATCCTTTATTAGATGAAGGCTCATTTTTGAAAAAATAATTAAGTTTGTTGGTACAATTTAGGTACACATGATAATCACACCCATTATAGAAAATTTGTACTTGTACATTATATAACTTGATTCATTTTTCCCATTCCTCTACCCTCCCTTCATTCCCACTTTCCCTCCTCCATTCACAAAGCTGTTTTCCTTTTATCCTTCTTTTCTAATTTTTTCTTTCCTTCTTTCTTTTCTCCCTTCCCCAATCTAGTTTCCTTTTCCTTTTGGACAGTTTCTTCATATTTCACTATCTCAATTGTACATTTTGGATATATTTACTCATTCAGTTTCTCACACCACAGAAATAATAGGATATCTACACATGTGTATCTGTTGTATTTCCCTTAGATTATGGTCTCAAGGTCCATCCATTTAGCTATAAATGTCTAAATTTTATTCTTCATTGTGACTGAGTAATACTCCATTATATAAAAAATATCACATCTTCTTTATCCATTCCTCAATAGATGGGAGTTTGAGTTGTTTCCAAGATTTACCTATTACAAACTGTGCCACTATAAACATGAGTGCACATGTATTGCTGTGGCACAATGCTTTTAGTTCTTCCAGAAAGATACGAGGAGACTAGCTGGGTCAAATGGGACCTCTAACCCTAGTTTTTAGTGGAATCCCCACACTGATTTGCATAGTGGTTGCACAAGCCTACATTTCCCTGAACAGTAAAAAAGGGTTCCTTTCTTCACACAGACACATGAGCATTTGTTATTGGTTGATTTCTTGGTGATACCCATTCTTTCTGTGGTGAGATTGAATCAGGGTTGTTTTAATTTGCATTCCTCAAATGACCAGTGGTGTTGAATCATTTTATATATTTATTTGATGGTTGTACTTCTTCTTTTAAAAAGTATCTATTCATCTTAAATGCCCATTTTTTGATTGGGTCTTTAAATTTGGAGAGTCTGATTTGTATTAGTTCTTTATATGTTCTAGATATTAGTCCTTTGTCTGAAGAACAGCTGGTAAAAATGTTTTCCCATTCTGTGTGTTTTCATACTGTTGATGATTTCTTTTGGTATGTGAAATTTTTTATTACTCTCAGTCATCTGGGAACCATTGCTGAAACACATATGGCATGGGAGTCTATGCCCAATGACCTACTTACACCCAGAAACTGTCTCTAACATTGGAAGCCCATGCCCAGTGACCAGAAGTCATCTGGGAATCCTCAGTGGGGCCTATAGGGACTGGGAGTCTGCTCTCAGAATCCTGAAGTCATCCAGAAACACTTGTTGAGGGCTGCAGGGACTGGAAGTCTGCCCCTGCAACCCACTGACACCCATGAACCATCTCTGAGGCCACCAGAAACTGGAATCCTGCACCCAGTGACCCTCAGTCATCTGGGGTGCAATAGTGATGTTCTTAGGGACTGGAAAGCTGTGCTGAGTGACCCACCTCCATCTGAGAACCATGTCTGAAGCCCACAGGGAAAAGAATTCTGGACACACAGACCTGAAACCAATGACAACCTTTAATGAGATCCACTGCCAGACAAGATTCCAGTGCAGGAAGCAACTAGGACTTTACATCTGACTGACTCATAGAAACACAGGAAAATGCCAAAATTAAAGAACAAAATGCAATCTCAAACTTCCAGCCCATCCAGTTCAAGTAAAGGAGATAAAACATAGGTGAAATTGGAAATTATACATCTGAAATTTCTGATATGATAGCAATGGAAAACCTCTAGGAGGCTGTAAAGAAAATCAGATCAAAAATAATCTCTCAGGTAAAAACAGAAATGATAAATATAAAGAAAGAATTGGTGAGTATATCCAAAGAAGGCACAGATTAAAAAAATAGAGGAGCATAGGAAAATTATAGAAATCTTGAATGAGCAATACAGGAAACAATTAGAATACATGAAACAAATTTAAGGACATACATACAAAATTAAAAATTCCATTGAAAGCTAGGATAACAACATAAATGAACAAACTCTTGGACCTTGAAGACAAGATTGTGGATAGTATTCATGAAAAGTAAGAGCTCTTAAAATTAACAAGGAATCAGAAAATAACAACCTAACATCTGAAATATGACAAAGAGAAACAATAAAAGGCTGATAGGTGGGGAAAAAGGAGACAACACAAATGACATGAAAAGACTATTTGAGGAAATAATAGCACAAAATGTCCCAAACAAGGGGAAAAAACAAATATACAGATATTTAAGGAATATGGAACCCCAAATAGCCATAACCAAAATAAATCAACACCTTGACATATAATAAAGATCCCAGAAATTCAGCCTAAGAACAGAATATTAAAAGCCACTAGAGAAAACAGATCATCTATAGAGGAAACCTTATCAGAATCATGGCAGACTTCTCAACACAAAACATAAAGTCAAGAAGAACGTAGAGAATTTCAAGTACAGAAATAAAATAACTTCCAACAAAATCCCTACAAAACTATTTTTCAAAATCAGTGGAGGAATAAGATACTTCCACAACAAAGAACAACTGAAGAACTTCATGATCAACCAACCAATCCTACCAAAAGTACTGAAAGACATTCTAAAAAGACATAAATATTACCACAATTCCAAGAAAAACAACAGAGAAAAACCAACAAGCAGGACAAGTAGTTAAACAGGAAAAATGTAGGTAACCAGCAGCAGAATGTTATCATGACAAAGCTAAACAAATATATATCAGTTATATCCATTATCATAAATGGACACAATTCACCAATCAAACAAAACAGACTGGCGTAGTAGAACATGAAACAAAATCCAAAAATATGCTGTGTACAAAAAACAGATTTCATGCAAAAGGAAATTCGTAGGCTGAAAGTCAAAGGATGGAAAACAATACTTCATGCAACAGGAACCCAGAAAATAGCAAAGATAGCTATTCTACTTGCAGACAATATAAACTTCAAATCAAGAGTGATCAAAAGAGATAAAGAAGGTCACTATATACTTGTTATGGGAAACTTCAAAAGGAAGAGATAACAATCATAAATATACATGCACCAAATATGGGAGCACCCAACTATGTGAGACAAATATGAATAGAAATGAAAAATCAAATAAGCAATAATACAATTATAATGAGGGACCTTAACACTTCATTTTCACAAAGAGATAGATCAATTAGACAAAAACTCAGCAAAGAAGTAACAGAACTGAATCAAAATTGTGAACAAATGGACTTAGTAGACATGCACAGAGTGGTCCATCCAATGACATCAGAATGCACATTCTTCACAGTTGCACATGACAAATTCTGCAAAATTGATGATAATATTAACCAATAGAACATGATTAAGTAAATGCAAAGGAATTGAAATTATTCCATGTATATTATCTTACCACAATGCAATGAAATTGGAAATTAATGACAAAAGAATCTGCAAGCCTCCATAAACACATAGAAATTAAATACCACCCTGCTCAACAAACAATGGTTCATACAAAAAATTAAAACAAAATTAAACAATATATAAAAATCAAACAAAAATGCAAATGCAACTTACCAGACCTGTGAGATACAAGAAAAGTAGTTCTCAGAAGGAAATGTATAGTAGTAAATGCTTATATCAGGAAAACAGAATGAATACAAATAAACAACCTAATGCTGCACCTCAAACTTACAGAAAAAGAGCAAGTCAAAATCAAGGTCCAAAGAGAAACTTACAAAGATCAAAGCAGAAATTAATGCAATTAAGACTAAGAAACAATACAAAGAATCAATGAATCAAAAAGTTCATTCTTTGAAAGAATAAATAAAATTAATAAACCCCTAGATAATCTTATCAAAAAAGGAAAGAAAAACATCAAATTCATGCAGTAATGAAGAAAAAGGATGAAATTACTACAGATCCTAGGTAAATACAGGTCATTAGTACCTACTTTGAAAACCTTTACTCTCATAGGTTCGATAACACAGAAGAAATGGACAGATTTCTAGGAACATGAAGTAACAAAGCTGGCTCAAGAAGATGTAAAGTGTTAAACATCTCAATACTAGTTAATAAAATTAAAAACATTATTAAAAATTTAGCAACAAAAAAAGCCCAGGTCCTGATGGATTGACACCTGAACTCTACAGAAAATTTAGAGAAGATTTAAAACTAATACTCCTCAAACTCTTTAATGAAATTAAAAGGGAATCAGTTCACCCTAAGTCATTCCTGGAGGTATTACCATGATGCCAAAACAAGAGATAGAACCAACCAAAAAAAGAGAACTACATGCCAATCTCCCTATTGAACATAGTTGCAAAATCCCCAATAAAATCCTAGCAAACAATACAACAAATCATCAAGAGGATTATATACCATGAACAAATAGGATTCATTCCTGAAATGCAGGGATTGTTCAACATATGCACATAAATAAATACAATACACCATATTAACAGAGAGAAAAACAAAAACCACATAATCATTTCAACAGATGCAGAAAAAGCTTTTGATAGTCACATACTCATTCATGGAAAAAAACTCACAGAAAATAGAATAAATGGTCTCTATCTCAATTTGATGAAAGCTATCTTTGATGAATCAATGTCCATCATCACATTAATGGTCAAAAACTGAAGCTTTCACTCTAAAATCAGGAACAAGAAAAGGCTGACCACTATCACCACTCCTATTCAACATAGTTCTGGAAACATTAGCCAAAGCAACTAGAAGAAAGACAAAAATAAATAGAATAAAGATTGGAAAGGAAGGAGTTAAATTATCATTATTCACAGATGACATGATCCTCTACATAGAAGACTCCCAAACAATACACCAAAATTTCTAGACTTAATAAGTAAATTCAGCAGCATATCTGGGTACAAAATCAATACTCAAAAATCAATAGCCTTCCTGTACACAAACA